AACATTTATTTTACTGGTCATAGTAATAATTATTAGTAAGAATATATTCAAATTATTTTTAAACAGTTTGATGATAATTTTTTAAGCTATGAAACTTTTATCAAATTTTGCAGGAATTTTTTAATATATTGTAATTTAAGAGATTTATGCTTTCCCTGTGATGTGTAGAAATTAATGTTATGATATATATAATTATTATTATTAATATAAATGTTATTAAATAATTAGTATTTTGAAAATATGATTAGGATAGTAATTTTTTACATGAGTTTTTTAACAGTAATAATCCTTAATTTAAAATTTACTTTAAAATCTAGTACACAACTAAGTAGTACCATAGCCACTTACAAATTATAAGATTTACAAAATAAACAAATGTTGAAAATTAAAATTAATGCCAAAAGACAGTTTTGTTTATTTTGTATATAACTAGTGGCATGAATCATATATGTTATATTATAAGATATATCAATTTGCTTAAAAATGTTTATTAGTAAAACACAATGATTCAAGCTGACTTAACATATTGTAGATGTAACTCATTATTAACTTAATCTTTTTACTACTGTATTCATTTTTGTATGTTTCCAAACTTGATTTTTGTTTTATTCTATATTTTTTCTTCTAGTACATTTAAAATGAATAGTTTAATAATAGATTTTGTTAAAATTTTTATAGTGAATTTTGGTGGGATTCATTTTGGGAATAAANTAGTACACAACTAAGTAGTACCATAGCCACTTACAAATTATAAGATTTACAAAATAAACAAATGTTGAAAATTAAAATTAATGCCAAAAGACAGTTTTGTTTATTTTGTATATAACTAGTGGCATGAATCATATATGTTATATTATAAGATATATCAATTTGCTTAAAAATGTTTATTAGTAAAACACAATGATTCAAGCTGACTTAACATATTGTAGATGTAACTCATTATTAACTTAATCTTTTTACTACTGTATTCATTTTTGTATGTTTCCAAACTTGATTTTTGTTTTATTCTATATTTTTTCTTCTAGTACATTTAAAATGAATAGTTTAATAATAGATTTTGTTAAAATTTTTATAGTGAATTTTGGTGGGATTCATTTTGGGAATAAAGTCATGACAACGTGTTCCACACAAGAGTGAACTTTATTTTTAATGATGGATTAACAAAGAAAAATAAGTAAATATAAACAAGTAAATATAGATATATACAGTCAAACTTGTTTTCAAGCATGATTAGTTTGTAAAAGTTGTTCTAAAACCTAAACAAATTTTCCCATAAGAAACAATACAAAATTGATTAATTCATTCTTGATCCCCAAAATAAAGTTTTTTTTTTTACCTTTTTAGCTGTATACATTCCTGTGTACCTTTCTAAAAGATGTTCATTAAAAATTCTTGCATTAAATTAATATGTTAAATATAATGCCAAATGCTAATTGTGTGTGTACTAATGAAAAATAATAAAATTATATTTAATAAAATTTTGTCATTTAATTTGACTTAAGCACCATTAAATGTGAATTCTTGGATGCCATTTATATTATCCAAATGTCATTTAACACGGTTTTTATTAATTAATTTGATTTTAAACTGCGGCATGTATCAAAAAACAGAATTAGTATCTTTCCTGCATGCGCCTTGATATCTAATTTAAATATCAGTGTCATCAATGATTTGTGTTGTGGCATCTAATGACCCGAGACAATCTCCTCATCACTAACTTCTGAATCAGTACTCCCGTCGTTGATTGATTGGACTGTCAATTTTCTTTAAAATAGGAAGTATACAGAGTTGACAATCTGTGGCTGGTTTTTGCTGAGAAGCTTGTTTGGCAACCAAGTTATTCTTACTTTTCTTTCTCCTAGTTCTTTTATTTTTGTTTCTTGGACTCCTGCTTCTGGGAATTTCAAATTAAATTATTTATCAAAACCTGCTATGATCATAATTCTGTTTTTTAGTTCAAATAGTCATCCACTGATTTGCTTAATATCTTTTCTCTTCATCTGGACAGCATGTAGGAAAACTTTGTCAGCTGAATCTTCAGATCTCTTTCACATGACAAAGTGCCAATTTTCAAACTTTTGATATATTTATTATAAAGAACACAGTAAAACCTTAGTTATATATTTTGCACTTACATATTTTATTTGACAGGTCCTAGCTAAATCTTATACGATTTAATGTATATAATACTTAGCTTGTCTTTCATTTATTTGATATTACTTTTTTTTTCCTCTTATATGTTTAATTTGTTGATTTAAATATTTAAAAATTCACTTATAACTTAGAGTAAATTGGTAAATTTAATTTTCAGTATGTTTACATTTCTCAGTTTCCAGTATTTCAGAACAAAATATCAAATATTTAAATTCTATTGTAAAATATTAAAAGCTGTTTTGAGGATATAATGATTGCTACATCAAAATGTTTTAAAAAATTATTAAATTGCTTATATCTGTAAATAAGTTACTTTAGTCTTTATTTAATGCTACTGTAGAATTGAATAATTAAGAAAGTAGACATTACAGTAGAACCTCCATTATCCGGATTTTCGATTATCCGGATTGTTCAAAATAAACAAAAATTTTACGAATTTGCTGATTTGCACTTGGCGAATTACGACACTGTTTATGTTCATGATGGAATGCATAACTTTTTTTGTTTCAACAACGTCTCAGCCATCACAGTGGTCGTAAACTCTTAAATATATTTTACGTAGTAATAAAAATATAACTTGACATACGTATTTATAAATAATTTATATTCAAATTACATCATTTCTATGACCAAGGGCGGCGTAAGGCATGGACGACGTGGGCCACCGCCTATGCCTCGCGGTCCGAAGGGCCTCGCGCCTCGAAGGTTTATGCATTACTTAAAAGCCGCGAACGCGACGAAAAAATTTTACTCGTCATAAAACGATAAATAGTTTATCAAATTTTTATTCATAAAACTGCAGTTTCAACTGCTTTTTATTTTATAAAATCCGTCTTCTTGCGCCACTAGAGGGCCTTTTAAACAGTAGGTAGTCTGTTAGCGTTGGTCAGTAGTAGTCCAAATTCAATATGAATGTTTGTTTCTTGAAAATTTGATCACGATTTAAATACAGTATTTACTTTTAATATTGCCGATATGTCATCGAAAAGAAAACGTGTTGTATTATCATTAAAAGACAAATTAAAGTGTTTGTTTCGATTATCCGGATTTTTTCTTATCCGGACTACCTTCATCCCCAATTAGTCCGGATAATCGAGGTTCTACTGTATCTTATACTTTTAAAAATTTTTTAATTTCATAACATTTTAATAAAATTGAATTTTATGAAGTTAGATTCTATGTTGCTATGAAATAATTTACAATTTTATATGTATTTAAAATTTGTACATATAGAACATATATTGTACATTCATTTTATTTTACCCTCTTCTTGATAACATTGGTTTTTGTATGTTTCTGTATTGATTGATGTAATAATATATTTTTTAAATAGGTTATGTAATTAAATTACAAATAAATTTTTATTTTTAAAGGATTTTAACAAAATTTGTTTCTTTTAATTGGTATTTGTTTTATAATTATAATAATGTCTGCCATTGAAAATTTTTTTATGAAACTTATATAATTAATAAATACAAAATATTGACTGGAAGAATACAAAACATTGACTGGAAGAATATGTAATATCTTGCTGCTTTATCATCAAACATACAACAGATTTAATATGTTTTGTTTCTACTGATAAGGAAGGAACACAATAAATTATTTTATGTAAAATATAGTAAAATTAATTCTGGACACCTATCGGTTCTTGTAGTAGCTTTGACTCACTAGGTGTTGGCTGTTTTTGGTAGTAAAAATAGGATCAACAACCTATTAAAATTGTTACATTCTACATTATCAAAATGTTTTTGCTGGTCCATAAAATTGGTTTGAAGTTTAAATTTTAACATTTATTTGATACATAAATAAATAGATATACAGGGTGATGACAAAGTATCCCTATATAATTCTGTTTAGAGTAATATGTAGTATTCTAAAGTTAACCAAATTTTATATGCTGATGTTTCCAGACATGTGGAAGAGATTTCCCTAACAAAAAAGTTTAGTTTCAAAATTCTTGCGTTAGAACTTTGTGCTGAGAGTGACAAAAAGACCCTGGCACAATTTCTTAAGGGCTCAGTTATGTTCAAGACAAGTTGATCTTCAGAAAAATGAATGGTATTTCATATGATATATGCAATTTAATATTTAGAAATTGCCCATGGTGCACATGAATATGGTATGTATGCTACATATATTTCTGCTGTTTGCAGTGAACTAAATGCTGTAGTGGTGAGTGTTGGAACTAAGTTTTTTTTCCTGCAGAATTCTTTTTAACATGTTTGGAAATATCAGTACACAAAATTTGAGTTTAGACTACTACATATTCCTGCAGATAATGTTGAATAAGGTTACTTCAAAGTTTGAACTTGACTACAAAATCTGCCAATCAAATTGACTTGTTCTAAAACTTAAAATCTTAAAATTTCTGAGTCAAAGTACCATTTGTATTGATATATAAGATAATTACTAAATTTCAGCCTGCATTTCACATACAGTGTTTAAACTACAGATCAAAAAACAAATTGAGAAAACTCCAAATAAACAGAAAACTGCAAATATAGATAGTGATGTTATCCACATGAAATAGGTGGCATCAGGAACAAGCATTACTACTTGTCATTCTTTCAACACTTTGGCATCAAAGATGAATCATAGAAGTATTTTATGTATATAGATTATATTTATTTCTTTAAAATTTGATTCTTATGTATGAAGGTTAAAATACTGGAGAGAAAAATTGAATTATTTATTAATAACTTCAAAGTTTATAATTTTTTCAAGTATTTTCTTTTACATTTTGGTAGTATAAAAATATGATTATATCTCTATAATAAATATAACTTATTTTTTATTAAAATATTATTTGTATAATTTAATGAAATGTTACTAAATAAAAAAAATATTGATTTCAGTTGTTTGTCATGATGTCCAGGCTGGGAACTAAAACATACAGCCGCAAGCAAGAATGCAAAACCAGCATTCAGTTTGACCAAATGTTGTCAGACAAAAGCAACAAACCAACTACTACTAAAGTAGCAATGACTACCGTTCATAGGTCAAGATGGGGTATGACTTCTTTTACTTCTTTAAGAAAGACTCATCTTAATGGACAAAAAGATTTGTCAGAAAACAGTGAAAGCAGTGCAACTCCTTCAATAGCACCAAAGCGAATTAAAGTGGATCCAAAATCTATTTCTAGTTTTGGAGAGGACCCTTTTAGTTTTGACATTGATGCAGAGTCTTCATCTGCAAAATTATCTCAACAATCATCCAATCTGCTCATTACAAAAGGAACTAAAGGACAAAGTGTTTTTACTATACCAAAACCAAATAAATTTTTTAAGAGTGGTGCTTCACGAATATCAGTTACAGGTAGTAATTCACAAAAAAAAGTTAACAATGACTTAAAATTTTCTGTAGAAGTTTTGGGATCAAATAAAATTAACAATGTAAGTAAATTATCAATGGACCAATATTCATGTAAACTTGTGTCAAAACTGTCAGAAAATAGTGGCTCAAAAATTCAAAACTGTGGTTTAGTGAACAAAAATAACCTACCTTCAAATATCCCATCACATACTAGATTATCTGAAGTCACTACTTTATGTGCTTCCAACATTGTCTCACATAGTCCCATCAAAAATATAGCTGATATATCTGTAACAAATTCCAGTGATAATGTGCCGTTACTTCAAAGAAGTACATCCAAAATACTTGATATTAGTTCACAGACATATTCATCATCTAATAACAATAATAATAATGAAAATAACAGCAACAGCTACAGTAGAAAATCTGAAGATAACTCAGAAAATTTAACAAAATCAATAAATTGTGAAGCTGATGATAGGTTTGAAAGTGTTTTTAGGTCTGTTGTAACGAAAACATATGGTGGAAAGAAAAATTTTGAACATTTACAAAAAGGAAACAAAATAGTAAATTTGCCAGTCATAAAAGATCTTCATCAACTTCCATTGCCATCAGTAAGAGACAATCCATCAGATTCAAAAACTTCTAATCAGGATAGTTTATGGGAAGAAGAAAGCAATTCAGAACCATTAACAATCTCAGAAAGTTCAGACAATGAACAAATTGACAATTTTGATAAAAATAGTGCTTTATCTTCAAAATCACTACATTTGGAAATGGAAACAAACACTAAAATTTCCAGTTTAAAAGGAAATCAGTCTCTAAGTCGTAAAAGAATATTCAATAGTCCTAAAAAGGTAAGTTTTTTTTCAATTTCCCATTTGTTATTTTTATACATTGAAAAAATTTGTTTTTAATTTTATAATAATAATTATATTTTATTAATTTTTCTTCATGAATAAAATATAACATAACATAACATTAATTCTTATTCTAGATAAGATATTGAAAGATATTTAATACAGGTATCTGTCATATAACATAGTAGTTACGTTCCAAAAAAGTGTTGTGTTAAGCTAATCCATGCTATACAAAACAAAGGCATAACATAGAGTTAGGTTCCAAAAGTATATTATTTTTTTTAAAAAATCAATCTTTTAAAAAAACTTCTTAAAAGATTAAAAACTTTAAAGGTTAATAGTATTATAATTGTAGAGATCCTAAACCTCATTAACCTTATTCTGGTTTGGATGCCACTTGGATGATCGTTGTTCTGACATCCTCCCACTTCAAAAGATCTTTAGTAGCAGATGTCAACATTGATTATCTTTCGTCTTCCTCTTTTTCAAAAGAAAACATATCTCGCTGAGTTTCTTGGTATTGTTCATTTGAGAGTTCTTGGAGTTCTTCTGTCATCAGATCAGTTTCAGGTTCCATTATGAGCTCTAAAATACTCTTTATTTCTCAGATGTGATTTTCATTACTCCGTTAGCAGCTTGAGACTTCTTGATATATCTTTCATGGCTAAGATTGTGCCTACTGTAGACCTGTTAAAGCCTAGCAACATCAGACATCTTGTGCTCACTTTCTACCTTGACTATTATCTCTTACTTGGTTTTTATGGTGAGCTTAGTTCTTGACACTCCTCTTTTTAGGCTCTATAATATTATCAGTTTTTTTTTAAATAAAAAGTTCAGAAAAGCACTTACAAAAATTCAGAGGACAGAAATCTACTAGCCCACAAAAAATTATTTAAATGCAAGGCCTGGATAAAATTCGAAATTTGGTATTAAAACGTTAATGAATATCCAATGGGACAGTTAAACTTTTGCCTTTCATAAATAAACCTTGATGCAAAACTTAACGAGTGCCTGTCTGACAGTCTTGCAAAGACTATAAAAAATTATTTGTCAGAAAGGTAAACAAAAAGCTAGAATTACAAGGGAGCATTTCAAAATTTGGAGGAATACTATCTGATTGGTATCGGATTGAGCGTCAATGTTGACATCTTCCACGCTCCGAAAGGTTTTGAATTGTTACGTGAAGACAAGAAAAAATCAATTGGTATTCGTTATTTTCTGTCACTTCTTTTTATGTTTGTTCAGTAAAGTGTTTGTTGCCCAATTTATTCACTATCTGAACTGTTCATTAACTGATCACCCACTGTATATATGGTGGTGTGGTTTTTTTTTATATATTTTTAGTATAAGTAACAGATACAGATACAGTAGAACGTCGTTTATCTGAATCAATTGGGGACTGGGGTTGTTCTGTAAATCGATATTTCGGATAACCGATTATGTACGAAAAAATATATTAACCTATCCCATGTTGAAATTTTTCTCCATTGCGTGTCGCTTCGCGTTGAATTTTCGTCGATGTTAAGCCTAATGAAGACTATTGTATCGTTAAAAATTATTTTTTTATTTTGTACAAACAAAATAAATATATTGAAAAATATAAAAACAATAAAAAATTATACTTCAGAAGTTAATTTAGTATCAAAAACACAAAATATTTGAGTAGCCCAAGACATAGCCAAAGATTGCAGTGCCACAGCACTGGTGAAAATTTAAATTTGCTGACTGGAATTCTTTTGGATAATTGGCTTTTGGATAAACGACGCTCTACCGTGTATATATCTGTATCTGTTATTTGTACCATTCTTTTTTGTTACTAAGAGAAATATGTTTACGAAAGTAATCAATAATCCACTTCCAATCAATAATTAAATAACAGTCACAATTAAAAGTACTGTATGTTGTGTTAATACGAGGGTCATTCTAAAAGTAAAGAACATTTGTTTCTCTAGATATTTTTATTTAAGATAATGAAACAAAACTTATTTTACAACACATATGATATCTTAGCTATATTTCTACATAGTTGCCATACAAATTTAAACATTTGTCATAGCATATCATCAGCTTTTCTATGCCTTCTGCATACTCAGTTACCACCAAGTTCTTGAACCAATCATTAACGGCTTCTTTCAGTTCGTTGTCACTTCCATAGTGATTCCCGGCTAAAAAATCCTTCAATTTTGGAAAAAGATGTAATCACTTGGAGCCTAGTCCAGACTATAAGAAGGATGTTCAAAAATTTCCCATTTAAACTGCTGAAGCAAGTTCTTTGTCAATGCAGCAGCAGCATGCAGATGTGCATTATCCCGAAGAAGCACAATGCCTCTGGACAATAATCCACACCGTTTGTTTCGAACTGAAGCTTCATTCATCACATTACCATAAACCTCGTTATCTGTCTGTAAATTTTGACAGGGTGGACTTTTTCGCATTCAAAAAGCGTATTACACTACGAACCTCACACTTGGCAGGATAAGTCACACTGTAAACAGTAAACGATCGTTGTGGCTCGCTGTTAGCATCAGACTGGCATGAAAACATGGGTCCATGACACGACAGTGGAGGTTGGTGGGAGAACTGCACGGCTTGTCAGATCAAAACGTTTTTTTTTTTTTTTTTGNTTCAAAAAGCGTATTACACTACGAACCTCACACTTGGCAGGATAAGTCACACTGTAAACAGTAAACGATCGTTGTGGCTCGCTGTTAGCATCAGACTGGCATGAAAACATGGGTCCATGACACGACAGTGGAGGTTGGTGGGAGAACTGCACAGCTTGTCAGATCAAAACGTTTTTTTTTTTTTTTTTTTTTAGAATGACCCTCGTATTAATTTTAGTTAAATGAGGGAGTTTTCAGGGAGTATACTATTCTTTTTTAAAAAAATCAATCTTTTAAAAAACTTCTTAAAAGATTAAAAACTTTAAAGGTTAATACAGAAGACAACCATCATTTTTTAGCTATAACTGCATTTTATCAGACACAAAACTACTAAGGATTACAACTGTTAGCTTTTATTACAATACAATGCAGTTTTAGTTTTGCAGTTTAGTTTTAAAAGATGACAATAATTTTTACAAATTGTCATCATCTTTTGAGCTTTTACATCAATCTTAAACAGAAATATTAGTAGCTTTTTTATTTTTGTCATAATTTTTTTTATAGATGACAAAATAAAAATATGTAAAAATGATTTGCTAAAACCTTTGATTATCCAGTAAAAACATTTAATTGAGATTACAAATGTTTTCAACCTTAAATTTGATCTATAATCAAAGGTTTTAGCAAATCATTTTTATATAATTTGCAGTATCCTTTATAAGAAGTTGTTGAATTTACCTCAAAATAAAAATGTTATTAATCAAAAATTTGTTCTAGAGGGTTACATTTGTTCAGTTGCATACTGAGCAATTTTTTTCATCCAGAATTTCTATTCAAATGCTGAATTGTTTGTGTTAGAAATTGTATGAACTGAGATTGAGATACCTTTATATTTTGTTCATCATTTTTATGAATGAAGTAATCATTTGTAGGTAAGTAATAGTGATGGTTAAAATAAAGTTTGATAACACCTAAAAATGTTGAAATAAACTTTACTAAATACAAAGATTAATCTATAAAAAAGAAACAGTGACAGTCTTAAGGGCCAAATTTGAAAGCAACAATAACATCTGATTGATAATAACACTAGGACAAGGAAGAAAAAAATTGTACTATCAGTTTTCATTAAAGTAAACCTGATGAAAGGCAAAAACTAATAAAAGCTTTCAATATTCTAAAGTCCGTGGGCAAATTTGAGACAATACATGTGTTTAGTTAATTTTTAAAAATATATAGAATAATGGAATTTACACTTAAAAATTGTGAAATTTTGTGCTGATGATTTCTAAAATTGTGTTTGGGAGGATTTCCCCAGTTTTTGAACCGTGTTAGAGCAAAATTCTGTTGTAGAAGTGCTGTGTTGTACAAGGGATACCTGTATTTTATTAAATACGAAGGGTATTTTTTAAATAAGGTCCATTTTTTTGATGAGAAGAAGAATACTTAGGGAATTCGATCCTGGTCATTATTTCTAATCCCGGGATTTTGGGATTATACTTATTCAATCCCGGGATTATTTCGGTATTGAGGGTTAATAAAAAATAAGAAAATCTTACAGAAATCAACAAATCAAAATTTAGACAAAAATCAACATATTTTACAGTATACACCTAGCTAATTTAATCACTCTAACTAATCAGACTCAGAGTCAGACTAACCAGACTTAAAATCACTCAGTCTTCATGTTAAATTTATTCTTTTTTAAGCATCACTGAGATCTCTTTAAACTCACATAAATTGAAAAAACCTTTATGTAACAAACTATGCAAATAAACGTTGAAAATTAACAAAAATCTCTCTTAACATCGA